TTGCTACAGCAACGTAACGTAATATAAATGTGTTTTGCTTCAAAATTATCAATACTACCAATTTTTACCTCGTGGTACGGTATCTTATGTTATTTCACGACAGCTTATACGCTCTTCTACGGCAATAATTGATCATTTTATAGTATCATGAGCATGCTATAATGTAATGGCCTCGTTATAAAAGGCTAAAGAGTACCGTGGTCATAAATAGTGTATAACGTAATCAGTGAATCATTTCTTTTAGAAGACTATGGGCGGGATTATTATTATGGACGCCTTTATCATAAAACAAATATATTAGTAGAACTGCTTTTTTTAATTATTTTTATTCATAGAAGCTTTACTTTAAGCAATCGCTGCCCAAATGTATTTTTGGAGCTTTTGATATAGCAGTATACGCATATAAGCGAAAAGAAATATGTTATTAGCAAATGCTAGGCGTTACTTTATTAATTCATTATGTTTATGTTAGGGTTCAGATTAGGACAGCACCTATAAATTGGAAAATAATTATAGTTTTATTACAAACCACATTCTCGAGTCGATAGAGCTTTCATTCAAGCTCGTAAAGCATCCTATCGAAAGTAATGGATATGGAAATAGACTTTAGGCAATGAAAGGCAGATTAAATAGAAATTGCTCTGTCCTATTTGATAATAACTTCTAATTTAGCCATCTATATTAACAGTGCATTTATAATAAGAGTATAGTCTGAGCAAAGGATGGATCTTATTTATGACAATAAAAAGATAATTATAATTACGTTTTTGAAAATAGACTAATTGAAACTCTGGTATTATGACTTTATCACACGTACTCTATCTACTCTGCTAACAAGAATGAACTATTAGGGATACTTTTACTGCCTTATCAGTAACATTAGAGAAGTACTATTTGCTTCATAGAATTATATTCAAAAACATTTAATGGATAGAGAAAAATTGATATGAAGCAGACAGTTCTTGTTTTACTATGGTACACAGTAAAATAATGATAAGCTCTTTGCTATGGACAGAACATCTACGAGTATTTCTCGAATAAAGAAATTTAATGTTAAAAAATATCAAATTATCTGTGATGGCAATAAAAAATTATTTCATCATCTCTGTCATTTCTTGTCGATTGTTTCTTTTTAATAATAGCCTCTCAATTTATCAGATTGACAGATAAATGCAAATCACTTATTAGTGTGTGTAGTGTTGCTAAGTAATTGCATGAATATGCATAACTATAAAATGATAGTATTCTATTGCACTAGTTTAAGCTATAGCCTTTTAATAGAATTAATATCTGATGCTTTTAATTCATATTATACACAACAGTTTGAATCGTGCATATGCAAAATAAGTTACATTGTGTATAAATAGTTGACCCAATTTTACCTATAATCTACTATGGTAATTACTGTGGCATAATTAACACCGAACATGCTTTAGTATGTCCGATTAAGTAACTTTCATGGTCGTTTATACAAACACTATAACAAAAACTCTGATAAAATTGATTCGAATAAAACAAGACTTTATTAGGGATAGTTTCGCATTGATTAAGTAAGTTACTTCAACTGAAAACAAAAATTGGTGGTAAACTTAAGCTTGGCTGTTTGACTTAATCGTTAAATAAATTTCCACAAATAGCTTTTCTACTTACTTAAGCAGAGTTTGAACGTTGGAACTAACATAATGAATAGATTTCACAAATGGACAGCCGCTCAACCCATTTTTGACATTAATATGAAAGATATGGTAAAACACATCAATATTCACTATGATATGAAATTTTCTTACACTAATTTTGTTAAAAATAATCGCCAGAATAACATAAAAAATATTATCGAATGGTAATGATACCGTAAAAAGTGTTAACAAATTCTACAGCTTATGTAATACTTTCCAAGTTAGTCTCAATTTAAAATATTGGTCATGATGAGATTGGTAGATATTAACTGTTACTAAATGGAACATGAAAGTTTTCCTTATCTGGATATTATTATATTGGAACAGCATCGTTGCTCTATAACATAGATTTATTCTAAGCAGATAGATTCTATTTTTAACTGTTTACAAGTATAAAATGTATCTTTTAATTATGATGTCTTACCATATCAACAAACGTCAAAGTTCTGCTTGGTTTGTTATTAAAAAATACTATAGTTCATCAAATGATCTTATTTTGATACTAGCACCCAATTACTTGTAAATTATGAAATTTCAAGTGACTAATGTACACAAACCATTCTTTCTTGTGAGATAATATTTTCTTGTAATCTTGGACATAGGGTCAAGTTAAAAACATTAAACGTGCACATACTAAATATTTCAAAGATCTCTTTTGGGTATGTAAAAGTTAGTGTAATGGAAAATCTCTAGGCAATATAATGTCTCTCTATTCGATTTGATAAAGTTATTCTTGAGTATTTGATACACATTTTAAATCGTAAAATCTACTATTTCGGATTTCTGTTATATCATTTACTAATTTAAGGATTTCATTAAGCTAGTGATGTACCGACAATTGTTATTGCTACACTTATAAATATCCTACTACTTCTAAGAGTTTAGTTTGCAGTTAGTATCATTCTGTCATAAACTGAAGTATGGATTTTAATTTTAAATATTTGGTGATATTATCATGTTCAGGCTGCAAAGTTTGGCGATGTTGCCGCAGTAGAAAACCATTTAGTTCTCATCCAGATAAAAAGAATACCTGCAATAATCTAGATGAACATCAAATGTCTCCTTTACACTATGCAGCCCGGGGCAATCGCGTCGATGTAGTTAAGACTTTAATCTCTCATGATGCAGGTATATAATAATAATCCATTCTAACTCCTGTATAATTTATCATTAATAAATAGAAACGATAGGACAAGTCCTGATTAAAACAATTTTTCTTCAGCTTTCATGCACAGATAAACGAATGTCTTGCATTATTAACCTAGACAAAATTTTATGAATTAAAATTACTATTTGTTTTATGTGGTACGTACCACTACTAGACGTTAATATTCGCGGTTATGATGGTAATACGCCCTTATTTATGGCTGCTAAATATAACAGCCTGGGTACATTTGAAGTCTTGCATTTGGCTGGGGCTGAATTTAAATTAGTTGATGATCAAGGTAATACGCTACTTCATGAAGCTAGTAAATTGGGCCATTTAAACATTTGTAAGGTAAGCAACAGTTGACTTGGAGCTTTGATGATAGAGTATAGATTTATATAATTTTTATTTCCACTGCGATGTCCATTTAAATAATTTCATTCAATATTATATTAAGTCTAAAAAAATAAAAAAACGATTAATCACTTTGTTTAATTTGTATCGCTGGCATTAGTACATTACTGAAAACAATTTGCTCGATGTCAGCGTCGTGGATGACGATTTAAATACTCCGCTACATCAAGCAGCCATGAGAGGGAGACTTGAAATTTGCCATCACCTTGTAAGCTGTTACGCTTGAAGATCGCATAGCCATTCAACTAATTACTGATGTTATATTTATTAGCTGAGATTTCCATCTTAAAGTTTTTCAGAATGATTTATTGACGTAAAACTTCCTTATACTAAAATGCTGTAAGAGCAACCAAGTAAATGAATTAAATAATATCCTATTTATTCTTACAGATTAAAAATAAAGCCAACTTGTTAGCCAGAGCGATCGATGGTAGCACACCAATTCATAGTGCAGCATCTAAAGGCCACACTCAAATTATTTTATTATTTTTGGAAGTTTCCTCTAATTTTGGATTATCTATTATTGATCTTCTTAACTGTGAAGATAACGAAAGGCAAATACCGTTGCATTGTAGCGCCCAAGGTGGTCATGTCGAGGTAATAAGTAGACGACTATTCTTGCATCCACAAAATGATATTTGACTTTTGGATTATCAATTTATAATGGAGAATTCAATCAGTCGACAAATTTGAATTAGTTGCCATGTTAGAGGATTACATAGCTATCTTTGGTAGAAAAGTAAGTACTTTGTTACGGCCAAGTAGCGTAAGAATGTAGTAGTTACTATGGAGTAGCGTGAAAGTTGTTATGGGGTAACATGAGAACTACTAGCCTTTCAAAATGACAAGTAATACAATCAGAAGCAGAAACTGGCTCTAATTATATTGTAGCTTCGAGGATAGAAAGCCTGCAGAGAGTAAACGTGAATAAAAGACTCAATCAGTCGGTGAAAATTGAATTAATTACTATATCGCAGGATTACATAGCTGTCTTTCGTAAAATGTGAACACTGTATTGCAGTCAATTGGCGTAAGAATGTTGTCGTTACTGTGGAGAAGCTTGTAAGCTGCTGTCGAGTAATGTCAGAACGACTAGCCCCGACTCTACCACAACTAACGAAATCAAAGGCAGAAACCGGCTCTATTTATAGTTTTGAACATAGAGGGCGTGTAGAGAGTAAAATTATAGAATTCAATGCAATAGATACTATCATAGTCTACGTAATACTAAACGATTACAAGAAATTGCAAAGACGATAAATGCAGTCAATAACCAAGCGTGATAAGCTATACTTGCATCTAGTGTGGAAAATTGTAAATATTATCTACATTGAACAATAGCGTAGATTGCCTATCCAGAAGAACATCTTAGAATCATGATTACAAACATAATATACTACTTTACTCTAAATTGCATCAGCTAATAGTGAATATAATTGTAAATGAAGCAAAGGTAACTCTATTTCATTTTTAGAAATTAGCGAGCGCATTACTCACTTATCTGCTTTTCAATCTATCCTATTTTTTTCGTCAGGCTTTGGAAATTTGCCTCAAGAATGGCTCCAATATCAACTCCATACATGTATGAATAATGGATTGATTGAAAAAACCTTCAAATTATTTTCGTTTAGAAACCATTTTACTTTTCTTTGATAGTCACAAATAAAGCATTAATTAATGCTTCTTTCTCTATAATAAGTAGTAGCCTTAATAATTGCTTGTTGCCTTTTCTTTCAATTTTATATCTTGGCGTGATATTATAGAAAGATGGCTGGACCGCTTTGCATATTGCAGCTGCTAACGGCTACTTTGAAGCTACCAAATTGCTGATCCATAAAGGAGCTTCAGTAAACATATACAACCATCAGTATAAAACGCCATTTTTCCTAGCAAGTTTATACGGGCATTTACCCATTATGACATTGCTAATAGACGTAGTAAGTACAAATTGTTTGATATTTCTTTTCGAATACAACTTGTAGCATTGATCGCCATTACTATAAAAGTAATCCTTCTGTTTTTCTAAAATCGATGTTTGTAAATTATGGACTTTCTCAGCTGATTACCATATGAAGGATTTTCTAGATATACTGTTTACTAAAATATTTGTAACAATCTTTATACTTTTGTCTATTTTGAGGGAGAGAAATTATCGGTATAATATAAGAACTATATTTCTAAAAAGACATTAATGCTCTCTTTGTTACATATGTCAATTTAGATACTAAGTTGCATAAACTAGTTTTCCGACAGTATTACTTTAATTTAGGTATTTCATTTATTATATGAAAGAGAAAAGACATTAATATTGCCTTTGTCGTATACGTCGTGTGTCGATTTTGATAATAAGTTAGTGTAAGCTAGCTATCCATTAGTATTATTTTAATTAAGGTATGCCAATTATTCTATTAAAGAGAAATAATATTAATATTATCATTACTGTATGTGTTAATTTTAATAATAAATAAGTATAAACTAGTTATCCATTAGCGTTACTTTCAATTTAGGAATACGTCTTATTCCATTAAAGGGTTCCGATGTTGATGCTGTCGATCATACCAAGAAAACACCGTTAATGTGTGCTGCTGCAAAAGGCCATATCGCGGTAATTGACTACTTATTCCGGCATAATGCTAGTATTTCTTCCGTCGATGAAGTACATCGAAATTGTCTTCATCTCGCTGTTCAAAATGGCCATGTGCAGCTAATTCAACATTTAATACGAGTAAGTTATCTACAAATATATGGTTACTAAATACGAGCATCGAAAAAATATGCTAACAGATGTCAATTAAGCTACATAATAACTTTTAATATCCAGTTATATTTGATCTCATTAATACTTGTACGATTTATTTTGTAAATATGTAGGCTCATGGTATTCAATTTCTAAATTCAACCGATAATTTTGAAAAAACACCTTTGCATTATGCGGTTGAAAGTGGAAGTCACCAGGTTATGGAATATCGTATCTCATACTACATCAGAAATTAAAGCTTCTAACTTTTGATAAACTTAAATGCGTATGTTTACTTTGCTAGATTGTGGAAATTTTAGTTAGCAATGGTGCAATTGTGGACAGTCATGATGATGATGATAACATACCGCTCCATCTGGCTTGCAAGTAAGTTTAGTATTTCTTCTAGCTAGTCAAATACTTTAAAAATCAGTAAAATTTTGTAAGATCAGCTTAGGTAGTACTTTACCTTGATATTAGAGCAATCATATGATTACTATTGATAACTATAGATTTTGAAGTGCAATTGTTATTTCACTTTTATTGAAGTTGCTAATGTGACATCATGTATGGCTTCAAGCTGCTTTGACAGTGCTTTTAATCTTCATGTGATGAAGGGTAAATGATTCAGCGGAAGTACATTTTGTAGCCTTTAGAGATTTCTAAAAATACATTAAGAAAATAGATTCTTTATTGTAGACTGCAAGTGTGTGTGAAGTAATTCTCTTGATAAGATAATTCTGAATAATTCCTCTATTCTTTTTACAGGAAAGGCGATTTACTTATAGCTCAATATTTATGCGAAAGTTGTCTATCATCCGTTAATTGTTTGGGAGAGAAATCAAGAACCCCGTTGCATTTTGCAGTTATCAGTGATTCTGTCGAGGTTACAAAAATGCTGATAAAATATGGTGCAGATATTGAGAAAAGGTGATAAATTAAAGGATTTTATTGCACCTGAAATATTGACTAGTCGGGTTGGAATTAGATTGTGAAAATTTTACGGTGCTGAAGTAGATCATAATGAAAATAAATACTAGTTTAATCTATTTTATGAGTTTTGATAATGCTTGGATAAAAATAAATTCAGAGATGGTAGTTATATGACACCACTGGAATATGCTGCATCTAAGGGTTTTGAACAAGTAGGAAAATTGTTACTGAGAAATGGAGCAGATGTAAATCGAATCAATTCCTATGAGGTAATACTATCTACTTGAACGGGCTTAATACCTATTTTACTTTCGCTTTACTATTGCATATTTGACTGCTTTCCTATGAAAGTTGTCTTATTTCTCAACATCTGCCTTTAATTTTCGCCTTTACTGTTAGTCATCTAGAAAGCATTTCCTGAATCAGCTACCATGCCTTAAGTTAGCAATCTTTAATGACTAATTTTTATCTCCCATTGAATTAATTTAGGAAACACCTCTACATTTAGCGGCTAGCCATGGGTCAAGTGCTGTTGTTAAATTATTATTTGAAAGTGGTAGCGATATAACACTCTGTAATGTTAATGGAAAAACCTGCTTAGATCTCGCAATTGAAAGTGGATACGAAGATGCTGCTCTATTAATTGTCAAGCATAAAAGGTAGAAATATTCCTGTATCTAGCTAATTTATCGTCTAATAGACAAATTGCTTTGATAAAGATTAATAAGAAATTATCCTGTTAGAACTCTGTTTACATACTTTATGATTTCGTCCACGTTTTCATTATAATATAATTCTTAATGATTTTATTGATTCAACTTATTAGAAGCGGAGAGATTTTAAATAGAATTAACGATGAAGGATTTTCAGTCATGCAAACTTTGATTGAGAAACTACCAAGAGTAGCAAAGGTAAATTTCCAGTATATTAGATTGCTTCTTCTTGTGTTAGCAATTTTAGCGTATTTTTATAGCACATTTCATCGTTACTTTGATTTTGGCGATACTGTAGGCTGTAATGGATTTATCTATTGAAAGAAGTGCAAGTGCAAGTATGGATAAAGTGGTTAGTTAATAGTAATGTATTTTAGGCGCTTGCAGCCAGAATTTAAATCATTAGATTAGGGAATTGTACTAACAACTTAATTTTAAAAGTATAATATTGAACTACTACAGCACCAAGAATAAATCTCATGTTACACATATTGCAGTATTAGATATATAGTTTCACTATAAGTTTCTAAAATTGCTGAACTATATTTAAAACGTCATCGAATTAGTTAGCTTAAAGCGCGTTAACTAAACTGAATCTTTGACATTACCATTTGTGGGATAAATTGCTATTACAGATCAACACGATTAGTATAGTTAGATTTTTTATCAGCAATTTCGGGAAAAATAAACCTTTGCTTTTTCCTTAGTTTGTACCTGCCGGCCTTTTGTACAGTATTTAGTATCAATACTTGGTATTTAAGATCTCAATTTATAAATGATAATTTAATCGCAGATTCCAACCGTAACATTTGTATATTTATCTTTAAGATGCCAAAGACAGATGAAAACGCATATTGAGCAAGTAAACTGCACCCGTCACTAATTAAATTACGTACTTTTCTAGATTGTTTACGATTACTCATTATTAGATCCAGGACCAGCATTAGAAAAGCAATTAAAAATGAACTCAAAGAATAATCCTAGATGTAATACATTAACGGTAAGAGAAACATTCGACAAGATTTGATCGAGAGATTTTCATTTCAATTAATTTTGTATTCAGGAGTTCATATGCTAAGTCCAATTTTAAAACTTGCGGCCGAGTATCTAATATATCTATCATTTGTGATGTATAGACTATGATTGAACACAAAAGAACAGGATTACTGCTTCATGAATTATCCCAGGCCCTACTTGATGCTAAATGGTGTGTTATGACAGTAATATTCCTCACCCTTCTTTATTTTTAAATTAATAAATGAAGATAATGTTCTATCGCAATTATATGATCGATTTGCACCTGAACTTTATAAAATTGCTTGACCAATTTCAATGATGCTTTTATAAGTTTCATCCCTGTGCAATAGAGCTACTCTTAATGATTTATTCTGTTTTATCTTGCAGGCGTACTTTTGGTGTTCCAATTTATTTTAGTAATTTGATTCTTTACCTCTTTTTCGTCGGCGCTTTAACCTACTACACTATCGCACTGCGTCCACCTGGCAATATTGTTACTCCTGACTATAACTCATACACGTATACTGTCGGCAATCAGACTTATACAGATTATTCATTTACATTTGTAAGTCTTAATTTTGGAAGATGCTTACAATAACTATAATATCCATCCTTAATAAAGTAAAGAATGAGATTCTTACTTTGACATCCTTTCATGATGTCATTTTGAATCTTTACTCTAGAATTCGAGACCAGTTCTCTACCTTTCTCAAATGGTTATCCTTATCTTCACTCTGGTGAATTTAATCACAGAAATTGCTCAGATGTATCGTCAGGTATTTTAAACGTCATGAATTGCTTTATAATCTTACTAACGGCATTTTATGCTGACTAATGTCAAGTTGGAAAAACTAATTACTAGTTGATTGATAGTTGACGGCATGAGAAATTTTTCCATCGTTTGCAATACTATGAAATTTTACATCATCAAGGCAAAATGGCCAGCAATGGATTAATTTTATATTTTATTTTACTTGGCAGAAATTAACTTCCACGAATTTTCAAATTACGTCGAATTGTACATATATATTTCTTCTATTATATTTGCTACTCCTCCAGGAAGTGAGCCTGACTTCGTTCAGTGGGCCGTAGGTAGCATTACTGTCTGCTTAACCTGGTGTAATTTAATAGTTTATCTTCAACGGTAAGCCATCTTAACGACATTTGGATTGGATATATGAGTGTTTATCTAAACAAATGCCTAATTAACCGGCGTTGGTTGCAGTCAGAATTTATTTTATACCTTGTAGTAAAAAATTGAATATAATAACAGATAAATTATAATTATTTCTATTCGTAATAATGAACATGATCTTCTTGATGAATTAATTAAAGGATAGAAAGTAGAAAATAATATGTTATCCGTAATCATTTTAATACTAATAGTGACTGTTCACAATGGATTCCTGAAAAACAGATAATATATAAAATACCTGCAAATAATTAGATCAATGTATTAACTATATTAAAATTCAATTTCGTATATTTGCATAGCAACGTAGCGAAGTTCCTTAATATGTGTATACTGTATGTTTATATGATAATTGCATTCAAGATTAAAATAGTTGATAGAATAATTTTAATCCACCTAGGTTATCTACCTTCGGTATATACGTCACCATGCTTCAGTCGGCCTTGCTTACCGTTGCTAAGGTAATTTAGCGATCCATTAATATTTGTCTTAATGCCATTTTATCACTTGTAAATGATCATGGGCTACGTAAAAATCGGACACCGTAGAAATGAGTGTTTTTACTTGGATTCTTTTCGTGACTTTTTATATAAATTCTAAATAGGTAGGAGTTATGTTGGGATTTCTCATTATCGCCTTTGGACTTAGCTTCCATATTATACTAGGTCATGAGGTAAGTTAATCCTTGCAGTTGCCCTGGTAAAATATAAATTCAAATTCTTAATATGATTGGCAATATTAATCAATGTATTGATGTTTATCGATTCGTTCTCTTGACCTGGATGATAGACTTATTTTAGCACTGCGCCATATTCTTTCCTCAAAGTTTTCGATATGATGCTTGGAGAAATAGACTATATCGAAGTCTTCTTTGATCCTATAAATAACGGGAAAACGTTAGCTCCCTTCAATATCCTTGCACTAATCTTTCTAGTTGCCTTTGCAATTATTTTGCCTATAGCAGCAATGAACCTGATGGTAAGCAGAATATGTACCTGAGAGGCAATATCTTGATGGCTATAAGTGATATTTTACTTCACACCATATAGGTTGGTTTAGCCGTAGGCGACATTGATAAAATTGAAAGAAATGCCGTTCTGAGTCGTTTGAAAGTTCAAGTGCAATTTATTGACCAAATTGAAAATTCAATGCCTTACTTTCTAAGGAAAAAATTTTACATCGGCAAGGAGGAAAAACGAAAGCTGAGATTTTTCACTCAAGTTAGTACTAACTCTTGCTTACAGCAACATTAATCCTATAAAGAAGTTTCTGTTTAGTTTTGTTTGAAACTGTATTTTACATAATTTTATTTTTCGATACATTTTGGCTACTCCTATATTCTTCTTAAAAATTAGCTTTGTGATGAGAGTACAGTAGAAATGAATCTTTGAGCTTACGAAAATTTAGGTTACTCCTGGTTCCTTCTAAATCTTATAAATATAGACTAAGAATAATTTTGCTTTTACATTAAATCAAGTTAGAGAACAGATAATATCTTATATCGTTGCAGCCTGAAGAGCTTGGATATACTTCTATCGTAACAGCATCAGACATTATCAATGTCAGTACTCTTCGCATAAATTGAAGCAATGTATTTGCTAATCAACATAGCTTTTATTGACATGGATATTAGATGACTAATCCTAAGTAGTCGAGCTGCAGTATGTCTGCTGACAAGATCATCTATTGTATAAAATATATATCCTAGTGTTTCTCGAAATAACTAAGGATAATTCTGTAATTGATTAACCTCAGTTATAATTTAAGAATTCTAGTTGCGGCGAAACATATCATCTACTCTAGTATAATTGAGTCATGATTAAAATAGCTTTTACTGTAAGTATTTAGTCTTTATCAAAATCAAATAATAAATATCAGATTCGTTAAATGTAGCAATCTTTTATAATACTTTATTTCAGGGCGAAGAACTAATTACACACTTACATTGTATCTTTTTAGATTCAAAATAATTCGATTCAAGACGTAACTGAAGTTGATAAATCCAGTACAGTAGAAAATGATGTGCGTGAATTGAAAGAAACTACATCCAATCAAGAAAAAAGGTAATGATGACAGAAAGTTTACAATAATTGTAAAGATTTTATCCTAACGGTAATACTTGCTCTTAATGTATGCAATAAGAACTATTACAATCTCTATTTATTGCTTAAATAATCAAGCCAATTTGGAATAATAACCAAATGAATTTGTATTGTTATTATTCTACAATTATAGCATAGAAATGATGGCGCATCAAATAAATTACTTGTCGAAAATTAACGCTGAAATGAGAGAGAAATTAAATCAATTTCTTGAAAAAGAAATTATTATGTACAGTAAAAGTGCAACCGATTTTTAATTAGCATCTCTAATGTAACTTAGTATTGTGATTGTAGGCTGTTAGCCATGTGTAGTATAATGTACGGTAGATATTTATCCTAAGAGATATTTGGTAGCCATAACTATGGACTGTAGTGGTATAGACTCTATGCTAGAGTACAGATAACTATATACCGTAAGGTGTTGAGTTACTAATATGGTTATAGGTAAAAATAGAACTGTAAATCATATATTGGGATATGGTAAATTCATTGTACTTTGGCTGGTGTGAATATTGTCTACGTAAATACTGTAGTCGTATCCATATCGAATTAATGATGGCCCGCAGTAGAATAGTGTTACTAAGAATAATTTAACTGTTTGTAAAATAAGGTAAAAGGTTGCCGTGCGGATTGTAGCTGCGAACGCTACGAAAGTATAAAAGCATGCAACTTTAGATTATTCTGTTACTTCGTTGTAGAAGTCTTTAGTAGTAGTATTCGGCTAGAGTAGAGCTGTGTGTAGTTAATCGTTGTACAAGATTCAATAAAGCCCTTATTTTACTAAAATTTGGAATTGCGTGATCATAGTCACTTATTAGGATTGTTTTAGTTAAGAAATTGAAGTTCATAGTCCTTTTCTTTCTATCATTATATATGATCAATGTCTTCTAAATTGTCTATTATTGGCAGCATGCATTTACAGCAATAAATTGCAAATTCTATTTATAATATAAAAATGGATTAAGAAGAGTTAATCCTTAATCATAAGCAAGCAAGTTTCTGCGATGTTTTGGTAACTGTCATAAAATTGGAGGATATGCCTTGTTTGGTTTAGGAATCTGTAATATTTTGAGTACAATAAACATTTTAGTGGCCTGTGGCTATTGACGAAATGGCGAAGAGTCCAGGTCGTTCTAAGTCCGTAAGATTATTAAAGTACGAAGCCAACGTAGTAGCAAAGAGGCTATTAAGCTTTAATTTTTAAGGTAGATTGAGGTGAAACTTAGCTAATAAAGCCATACATGAATTCTATTATCATTTTCTGTAAATGAAACTACTTTAACAACGCATGAAAACGCTATTAAAGAATTAGCGGATGATGATATTACTCAGAATATGATCGAACTCAAGAAAGAACAGATAAAGCATGAAGATTAGAAAGTAGTTAAACTTTATATTGGAAATCAACCATTTAACTTATATCGCGAATTCATGTAAATCGTCATATATTAAAATGAATAATTAAGAATAGTGTTTTATAGCAATTTGAAGACCGTTTTGCACATAAACTTTATAAAATTGCTAGAGCAATTTCAGTTATCTTTTTATAAGTTTCCATACCTATGCAATAGAGCTACTTTTATGATTCATTCTGTTTAATCTTGCAGGCGTACTTTTGGTATCCCAATTTATTTTATTAATTTAATTCTTTGCCTCTTACTCGTTGGGGCTTTAACCTATTTCACTGTCGCTTTGCGTCCATTCGGCAATATCGTTACTTATAATGGTGATTATTCTAACTATGAATATACTCAAGAAACGTATACTTATGGCAATCGAACTGTTACATTTTACTATTTTACATTTGTAAGTGTTGTTTTTGAACGATACTTATAGGAAATTTTTAAGGATATTCATCCTTAATGAAATAGAGAATGGATTGTGCTTTGAAATCCGTTCATGACTACATCTTAAATCGTTATTTTAGAGTTCACGACCAGGCATCTTCCTTTCTCAGTTGATTATCCTTCTGTTTACTCTGGTAAATTTAATGACAGAATTAGCTCAAATGTGTCGTAAGGTGTTTTTTAACTACATCAACCATTATAATTTACTAATAGCCTTTCACACTGGTTGATTTATAGCAGCTAGTATAAGATTTTTTCCATTATTTGCAACAATTTAAAAGCATTATACCGCCATGACAAAATGGTCAGCAAAGGATTACTGTAACATATATCTTTGATTTTACTTGGCAGAAATCATCCTACTTTCATGACTTAACAAATTGCGTGGAATTATTGATATATATTTCTACCATCATATTTTCTATTGCTCCTGGAAGTGAACCTGGCTTTGTTCAGTGGGCCGTAGGTAGTATTGCTATCAACTTGCTGTAATTTAATAGTTTATCTGCAACGGTAGGTTTAACACTATTAGGATTGTACTGTATATATGAATCCATCTTAACAAATGTAGAATTAACCAGTGATCTTTCAGTCAGAATTTATTTATTACTTGCTTGCAAAACGCTGAATACTTTAATAAATTATACCATTTCTATATTTAATAATTAAGATATTCTTAATATTTTAGCAAGAAAAGTTTTACATCTAGTCTTAGCGATTCCAGATAGAAAGTAGAAAATATCTTTTTATGTTACCTCTGTAATTATTATAACTGTATCATCTCGCGTGGTGGATATCTGCAAAATGCATGGATGATCCAGCAAGAGAATTTTTTAATCTACTCCTTTAGCAATTAAAGATAGAAAGTAGAAAATATTATTTAATGTTGCATACTAGTATATATAATTATTATAACTGTTATATCTCACATGTAAGATACCGAAAAAGCTAATAGATCAATCTATTGACTGGATTTTAATTTATTATTTCGTAATATTTCAAAAGCAATGTAGCAAAGTTCCCTTAATTTACTGTAAGTCTGTATAGTAATTGTAATCAAGATTGAAATAGTTGATAGAATACTTTTAATATGCCTAGGCTACCTACCTTTGGTATATACGTTGTCATGCTTCAATCGGTCTTGCTTACTATTGCTAAGGTAATCTGCTGATGTATTAATATTTAATATAATGCAATTTCATTGGGTATTAATGATCATTCGCAACGAATGAATCGGATATCTGTATTAAGAGTATTTTACCTGGATTCTTTAATGGATTTGTATGCGTATAAATTCTCGATAGGTAGGGTTCATGTTGGGATTTCTTATTATTGCCTTTGGACTTAGCTTTCATATTATACTAGGTCACAAGGTAAGTTAATCTTCGAAATTTCTCTGATAGCATATAAACTCATTTTCCTAATATGCTAACAATATTAATGAATATTGAGGTATTTATCTATTCCTTTTCTTGACCTCTATGATAGACTTACTTCAGCAGTGCATCATATTCTTTTATCAAAGTTTTCGATATGATACTCGGAGAATTAGACTATATCGAAGTCTTCTTTGATCCTATATATAACGGAAAAACATTAGCTCCTTATAATGTTCTTGCGCTAATCTTTTATTTTGGCTTTATCATTGTTATGCCGATTGCTGCAATGAACCTGATGGTAAACAAAATATGTAGCTGATATACAATATCTTGATAGCCGTAACTGATATTTAACTTTACTATATAGGTTGATTTAGCCGTAGGCGATATACATAAAATTGAAAGAAATGCCGTTCTGAGTTGTTTGAACATTCAAGTACAATTCATGGACCAAATTGAAAAATTCGTTACCTTACTTTCTAAGGAAGAAATTTTATATCAGTAAGGAGGAAAAACGAGAGCGGGGATTGTTCACTCAAGTAAGTACTGATTCTTGCTTCAAGCAAGGCTTATTCCATGAACAAGTTTAGAATTGATAGTTTAGTATTCTTTGAAACGATATTCTAGATAATTTTACTTTCCGATATATTTTAGCAATCGCTACTCATTTGATGTTATCATAAATTAGCTTTTCGGCAAGATATACGGCAGAAATAAATCATTGAGCTTACGAGAATATAAGGAATTTCTAGTTCCTTCTACATTAATAAATTTCGCAAAGACTAAAGAAACTTTTGCTTTTACGTTAAATTCAGTTAGAGAAGAGATAATATCTTATAATATTGCAACCTGCAGAGCATGAACATACTTCTATAATATCAACATAAGGCACTTATCAATGCTGTTGTCATAAACTGAAGCAATGAATTACCAAACTGACATAGCTTTTTTATTGATACAGATATTAGATAACTAATCCTACATAGTTAGACTACAATATATCTGCTAATAAGATTAATTATGATATAACATAACTTTAGTGATACTTGGAATTACAAAGGATAGTTCTGCAATTGTTTAACCTCAGTTAACGTATAAGAATTTCAGTTTAGGGTGCAACATATAATTTACTGAAATATAATAATCAAAGTAACTCTTATTGTAAGTATTTAGTATTTATTATTATCGAAGAATAGCTCAGTATCAGATTCGTTCAATGCAGTGATCTATTATTTACAACTATTTAACCCCGGACTAAAGTTTAATTACACATTCAAACTATGTCTTTTTTAGATTCAAAATAATTTGAGTCAAGATATGATCGAAGTTAGTCAATCCAGTGCAGTAGAAAACGATGTTCGTGAGTTGAAAGAAATTGCTTCGAATCATGGCAGAAGGTAATGATGACAGAAAGCCTACAGTATCTTAATAGATTTACCCTAATGGTAATTAATATTCATTCTCTGCGTATAAAGTACGAATTAATACAATTTATTTTTATTTCTTTAACGATTAAGGCAATTTAAAATTGTATTTTAGAATAATAACTTAATAAATATTCATTATCATTGCTACATAATTATAGGGTGAAAATGATGGCTCATCAAGTAAATTACTTGTTGAAAATTAACTCTGAAATGAGAGAAAAATTAAATAAAATTTTTGAAAAGGATATTATTATATAATCGTATAACCAATTCATAATTCATATTCGAATGACTTTCTAATAAATTAATTAATCACACCCTGATATTTCCTAGTTAGGTATTCAATTATTACAGATAACTATTCGATTTCAAGAATAATCGTTCTATAAGGAATTGATTACAGTATTACATAGTATATTATCCATTGTGCTCAGAGAAATACTTTGCATCAATAAAGTGGAGCAGAACAAGAGAAGCTGCTTCATCAAGATTAGTCTTTCTAACGATGCGAGCAGGATTAAGGAATGGTATAATTCACGTTGGCATCAAAGCCAGCGGAAGCAAGTATTTACAAAGTTAGCAAAGAAAGATGGTTTGGGGAATTGCCCTCATAAAATAATGACCGAAGATAATTTAGTGATAATAATCATTGCTATAATTGCTTTTCTTATATAACTAAGGACTGTAGAAATGTCACGAACCAGCTTCGTGACAAGGATAACGTAAAACAAATCTCTAAATTACTATAGTCTCCGAGATTCAGTATCCCTACTCACAAGAATTTAGACGCCTTCGATTCTACGTTAAACTCAACTATCTGACGGGTTTATATACCCTTCTACAGCAGCTAACATTCACAAGTCATCTTATAAAAATACTTGGGTGAGAACATCTACTAACTAGTTTTTCACAGTCGGACTACAATATGTCCATTCACAGAATCATTTCAGTACACATTACAGCACAGCATTAAATTTACTGTAACACATTTATAATTAGAGTCATTCCTATTGTAAGTAACTAGTTGTAATATAATATCACTATATTATATTAACCTAATTTAGATAGCTATTTCTTCACGGTAGTTCGTACCGTGATAAGAAATAATTAAGATACTAAATGTTACATTAACTTTAAGGATAAAAGATTTCATTATCGCATTTCATTCTATTATAAACGTCCGAAACAATTCTATACTTTTAATGATGTAGCTTATTCTGGTATAAAATAAAGGAAAATTGGAACCATGAAGATCTATGTATTGCGTTAATTACCCCCGAGCTATCATTTAAAAAGTACAAGGGTTTTAAAAGTCAAATATAGATCATTATTGAATAGATCGTTTGTTTTCCTTTATGTGATCGGACTACTCGCGACGTTGGTTTATCACCACCAAACCCTATATTCGGATAGATTTGAATAAAATTAAATAATCAATAATAAATAAACGTTAGTACAATCATGGTGCCATACAGATTAGCATTCCGCAAGATCGTCAACCTTGAATAATGAACCGATCCTTAAAAATATATACAGTTAGGACTATCGCGAAAACAAGTCTTACTATATTCTATCCATTATGACATGATATTCCTAGATATAGACTGATTTTGTAGCTCGAAAATGATTAGGCGTTGACTATGTCTAGCCTAATAATCCCTATTAGATCGTCTATGAATATTTTGAATGTCAGTCACACTTAAATCTGATTATCTTGCCATGCAATAGTGCTACCTTTTCTATGCAACTACTTGATGCTCTCTCTCTCTTTGTAATGACTACATTAATATGGCAAGAGGTATAATTTATATTATTTATGAATTCTTTACAATAAATGCAATAGATAGATAGGATATGATAGACAATGTGAAGTTCTGTAGTATTGATTTAGTTAGGTCGTAACTATTGTGATCTGTTCTATTTAAAAACAAATATGATATTATAATGAGAACACACATTATTGATCATATTTTGTTTTGAATTCTGACCTTGTGTCTCAACCTCTTTAAAATCTATTTTTGGAATACTCGAACCATCAGTATATAAAGCAGAGTAATTTGTTAACAGTAAGGTGTAACTTTGGACTTATGTTTATCTCCCATATAGAAGTGGATGGAAACTTAAACTTTGATCTTATGTTATTTTTTAAAGTCGATAGGGTTCAAATTTAAGCTTACTACATGTATAAAGCAGAGTGGTTTATCCATAATAATGTATTACTTTAGATTTACATTTATCTTTTACGTATGAGTAGGATGAAAATATTAATTTCGATCTTAAGGTACATTTTATAGTCGATGAGATTTGAATCTAAGCTAATGAAGTATTTAAAGCTCATATCATAGGTAATAAGACTTTTATTACGAACACGAAATTGAAGTGACTCCATCCTATTTCAAAATATCGCTTCACTACCATTTAGATACCTTTTCCCACTAAAGGATACTTCTTCTAAGCAAGTAATATATCAATCTTAAGTGAATAAACATAAAGTTAGATTTTCGTCATCAGTAATAGATGAGGTAGAAACGATTACCCCATTTAGAGTTTAATTTACTTTACCTGGATTATATGAAAATAAACAATCAGGTTATGCTGTGCCAGGTACAGCAATTAGTTAATCGATAGAGAAATAGAATATATTCTATATAACATATTCTGTAACAACTAATTAATAGGTAGAGTTTCTTTGAAGCTTATACTGCTATACAATTGCTGTAAGATAAGGCTAAACTTGTATACTACCTTTGCATGTATGGATCACTGAATCATACAGGACCTATTTCTTGATATTATAATCTGTTTAGAAGCGCTGTTTATCTGATTGCAGCTTAGGTAATCTTATCATCTTCATAGATTGCTAATGAACTGGTTCCCATTATGAGCATTCCCATATTCAGTCAGTTCTAAAGATGCTAATAAGTTCATTATTGAATGACGTCACGTTGTTGCTAAGTAATAGCATTAATATTCATCATGATGACAAAGCGAAAGAATATTATTATGCTAATCGGGACTATGACATTTTACAATAGGTACATTCAAGATCTATTCCATGTCTAATATCTTTACACTAGACGTAAGTTCTGACGTAACTATATTCAAGCAGGTGGCATTGTCTGTTTATATTTGCCTCAATTTTACGTATAATCCAAAATTGTCACACCAAAAATAGCAGCAGGATTGCTTTAAAGATTGAATTGGCTATTACTCGTTATATTGTTAATATCTTAAGCCCTGGAGCAATACTCGATGTATAATAAACTCAAATCAAACAAGATGTTATTCAGAATCGATTTTTCTTCCTGCGTATTAGGCTACTCTGACTCAAAGCAAAATTGAGCGATAAAATTGAACTCGCTATTAGATTCAATTCTTGAAAATTATTCATAAGTACTTCTACAGCTTACTTTAACGGAATTTAAAGACTGAATATTAGCATAATGAATCGAATGCACAGATGGTTGACTGTGCAGCCAGTCCTTGAGATTGACATGAAAGACATGGTAAATAAATATAGACTTTTTTATGATAATTTTGAATTTTTACTAATCATAAATGCAGTGAACAGATGGATTTGCTATAACGTTATAAAATAGGCGATAAAACCTTGACGGTAGGCTGCTAAGGACAGTGTTTTGTTTGTAAATGGTTCATTATATCTTTTGTTATACTTTCATGCTAACATTAAATTATATAACGAAGGACGATAAGATTGGTAGCGTTAATTGCGATTAAATGTAGATCTTATCTTATCTGGCTACATCTTATTTTGAAATTATTCGAGATATTACTTAAAAGTTATAGTGTTTTATTATTGATTCCAGTACGGATTCCAAAAGACTATTTACTGTTAGCATCGAACAGTACTGCATGTTATTAAAATATAGATACAATAATATACTGAATTGATGAAATCACTAAAATTTATGTAAATTTTTCTAAATAATACTTCCTCCTTTAACGCATACAAAATGTATCTACTTACAATAATACTTCATAATACTTTATAGCATAAATAATTACTGTAATTTTGCTCACTTTGCATTTGAAATTAGTCATCAAATGATAAAATTTAGGTACTGATACCTAATAAGCAGCAAAACTGGAAGTTATTTATAAACTAAAATGTTCTTTGGTATAACAATTTTTTTAATTTTTCGTCTAGAATCAAGTTACTACCGTTAGGCGATCGGAAACTGAATATTTTAAAGATCTCTTTTGGGTAAGTATATCCAAGGATAGTGATAATTTTTGTCGAGTCAAAACGATAGAACTCGATAGGACGGAGCTAGTATTCAGTAACTAATAGTTCGTACGGTATAGGTCTTAGCCCTGCGATAGTCAATTAATTTTTTATCGCTTACTGATCAAATAATTTGACGTGCACGACGCTATTTCGACCGTGCATGTGCTATTCCATGTAGTAAGTCTAGCATTATAATAGTTCACTTTTGGGGGGAATTAGAGGTTAATATTGATTGCTTTTTATTATTATTGTTTCATTAACGACATGATCGTACCCAGGCTGCAAAATTTGGTGATGTCGCTGCAGTAGAAAATCATTTCAATACACTTTCCGATGAAAAAAATGCTTGCAATAACTTAGATGAACATCAGATGGCACCCTTGCACTATGCAGCCCGTGGTAATCGCGTCGATGTAGTTAAGACGTTAGTCTCTCATGGTGCAGGTACATAACATTACTCCATCTTCTCTCCTTTAAAAGTCCGTACAATTTATGAACATAAACTATAAGATATGTAACGTTAAAAAAATATAAATCACACCTTTAACTCCGAAAGAATAGTTTCACATATTTACCTATGCCAATTTTACTAATTAATATGGCATTTTGCATTTGTATATGCTACCACTAGATGCTAATATTCGAGGTTATGATGGAAATACTCCTTTATTTATGGCCGCTAAATATAACAGCTTGGCTAGTTTTGAAGTCTTGCATGAAGCAGGTGCTGACTTTAAATTAGTCGATGATCAAGGTAACACAGTACTTCATGAAGCTAGCAAATTGGGCCATTTAAAGATTTGTAAGGTAGGTGATAAATTGAATTTCAACTCTTCTGAAAGATTTCTAAAGTATATCATTATCGCTTCTCTTGCAATGATAATTTAAATAATTTAATTTTGAGGTGATATGGTATTATATTGGCAATATTGAAAGATTGCTCAACTTGTCTAAATTATATCACTGATATTAGTATATTACTGAACACAACTTACTTGAAGTCAACGTT